GCTTTTCCAGAGAAGTTCTGACTTTGCCTCATTGTAAAATAACCTGAAGTTTTTGTTTTAGAAAAACTGGTTGCAATTTTCACACTGACATTAAGTTAGTATATTTGTTTTGTATTGTTTTGATTTAATTTGAAGTTGTTATTAAATATAGCTGGACCTAAATACAGTTGGGCCTGGATGTTCTGTTTTGTTTTTCAAATTTGCTACCCTGGTAAGTAGGGGTAAGGTTAGTAGAGTAGAAAATATGTTACAATGTGAGAATGTAATTGTAAAAATGCATGCAGTGTCTGGCCTGCATTCAGTACTGGAATCTGCTGGGAAATCAGTTCAAAATTCCACCTGTACAATTGATCTACTGTGTAACAGCATTGAATGTAGTACAGCAGCTTTTAGTGTTCAAATAAAAAAAAAAAAGCATGTTTTTAGTACTGAAAAGCTGTAACACGAGTGTTACCTCTTTGTAGTCCCTGTTGGTTATAGTACTAGCGCTGAACACCAGATTTCCTTCCATCTCTTGGGTACTGAGAATACTGCAAGGGCTTCACAATCCTCTGTGTAAATCCCTGAGGGCTGTATTGAAGGAAAAAAAGCACAGCTTGAATTTTGGAGCAATAGATAAATTTGTCAGGCTGCTGGACAGGCATCGTGTGTAAATTGAGCATACTCGTTAGGAAAATCAGAGCAGTCGCTACCACCACCACTACCACCACAAATAATCCTGCTGCTACATCTCCAGGCTTGCTTTTAGGTAGGATGAGTGTCCTTTCAGAGGCACATCCATGGGCTATTTTGTTCAAGAAGGCCAGCTAAAAGTTAACTATACAAAAAACCCCAAGCCAACCGCAGAGCCGATGGCGCGGTGAGCGTTTGCAGCTTTCGGGAGGTGCTGTGCTACAGCCCACCACCTAATTATTATTCACAGCAATTTGGAGGAACACTGAGTGCAGCAACCCCATGAGCGAGTCCAGGTTATTTCTTTTGCATTGCAGGTCGAACCCTGACTCAGATATAAGCTTCTGATACGTACAAAACATACTAGTGCTGCTGCTAGACAACTGTCCTAACAACCTCCAGAGAAACAATGAACTTACCTTGCTCTGGCTGCACAATCAGCAATTAAAACCTGTAACCGAGAGGTTGCTGATGTGGAAGGAATAACCCTGATGAGTCTCTTGTCCGAAGCGGTTTGAACACCCAGCAGCTTCGACACTGCAGGTCTGAGGTGGGCGCAGAGGGCCCTTCCTTCCTTACCTGGTAGGAACAGCTGCAGGTCTGAGGTGGGCACAGAGGGCCCTTCCTTACCTGGTGGGAACAGCTGCTGGTCCTTGGACGTAGTTCAAGATCAGCACAGCAAAAAGCCAACTGTCGGAGGGGATTTTCTTTTTAATTTACACCACCCAGGAAAACGAGTCAATTGTTCTTCTGTGACTGAATGTAAAAGGCAATTAGTTGCAAATCAGTGTGCTGATTTAATTATTCTGATTTAAAATCGGCTCATTCTGTTTGTAGAGGCAGGTAGGGCTATTTGCTGAGGGGTCACATCAGCTGCTGCCAGGTTGTTTCCAAAATCACTGCCGGGGAGCCAGACCAAGGAGAGCAAACTGATGGGACAACATCATTTTATTCTGTACATTTACATACAAAGTTCTTTTCAGTAGGTACAACAGATGTAACATCATGCAGACATTTAGCTTGTAAGACTGTTTTCAGTACTTGATTTAAGCTTGTGCTATGAGGAAGCACCACCAGACTATTCATGATCAAAACGTACAGTAACACGATTCTTTAAAACTTCATCAGAAACTGAAATGGGAGGGAGGTCTCACCCACTAGACATAACACACCATACTCCTTTCCCGAAACGTTTTACACAATACATTTAAAATGAGGTTTGTCATTTTATTTTTCTTTAAAAAAAAAAGTTACAGTGAGGGAGATCATCCCCCCCACTTAATAGTGTTGTCTTATGTGCCAGCTACAGGCGCAACTTGACTTGACATTCACAGAGTTCAGTTAATGGCACTTCTGCTTCCAATTTGGTGACCTTTAGTGTTTGGCTCCAGGAAGTGGCAAAACAGTTAAAATATTTCCATTAAAAAAAAAAAAAAAAAAGCCCAGATAACAAAACTGAAAAGTAAATTCCACAAACTCCTGTCTGAGTTGTCACAAAACACTTGCAATGAGGTGACTGTCCTTATCCATTTGCAGTGTGTCTGGCAACAAAAGCAGTACTGAAACCTTAAAAGGGGAAAAAAAAACCAACCCCAAGATCAAGCATAACGTCACGTTCACATTTTTGTTTAAACTTACAAAGATGGAAGAAAGCCCTTAAATGGTAAACCTAAAGAAAAATCCACTGGTAAGCTTGGAGGTTACTGAAGGTTCACAGAAAAAAAAGGCCAAAATGGACAGGACAGCTTTGACCACTTCCCCTGCTGTGGTGGCCAGAACAGGCTGCCTGAGAAAAGCTTTTCCTGGTGATGGCAGCAGGGGAGACGCGGCTGAGGAACAGATGGTGCAGGGGACCATCACCCTGTGCTGCCACGGGAGCAGGCAGAGGACGGTCAGCATCTCCACCTTTGGTTTCTGCCCTCCTGCATCGCCTGGTGCGCGGCTCCTCCACACGAGATACACTTAGCAAAAGCTTCCCAACTCTGTGAGCGTGTGTGGAAAAAAAATAACAATCACAGAAGTGCTCATCTTTTCAGGAAAAGGAGCAAAACTGGAGCTGCCAAGGCAGGGAATTAGTTTGTGTTTTATTGTCATGACAGAGGCAGAGGGCCAGACCAACTTGAGAGGTTAGGGCTCCCCACCTTGCAGAAGATCAGTACCAACTACCTGTTTTCAGGCTAACCCAAAAAGCAGCAAATCAAATCCATTTTATAAGAATAATAATTAAAAAAAAAAAATTGCCGCATGTTGTTGTCGCCTAGCTTGTTTATTATATAGATGTTGATATGTTTAAACAACCATTCTCTTCCCTGGGCCCATCTGTCATCAGAGAGCAACCACCAGAATAGGAAACGATAAAGTGCTGTGGACAACAGCGGTGAGCACACCAGGACTGCTGACAGGGCTGGAAGCAGACAGTTTAATAGGTTTGTGGGTGGTCTACAAGAGCCATACCGTAGCTTGAGCACGCACACACAGAGACCACGAAGGAAGGAGCCGCTGGCTCCTCAGCACGATGGATGGCAGGACACTGCTCCCCACCTCTGTGCTTGCCCCTGCTCCTCCACTTTTGGGCCCTTTTCTGTTAAGACTTGTTTTGCTTCTTCAGTTTTTTGTTGAGAACCCGTTTTCCCCCCACACACCCCCAGTGTGTGTGCATCTTGTATCAAAGGCAAAAGTTATTGCACAAATTTGGCACATGAATACTGCGTGAATGGGGAAGGCCTGGGTTTTTTCCCTTAGGTGAACATAGACTGCAGAAGTCTTGGTGCAGAACAAAAAGAGAAGCAACCGCGCTCAAGGTTAACAATAAAACTGTCACAGCAAGTTTAGCAAAGGTGAAAAAAAAAAAAAACAGTAGCCTAACTTAGAGCAAAACTACCATCAACTGGTCCAGTGTTTCTTACCAGGCTCAAGAAGAACCCAAATGTCCACATCCTCTGTACAAAAATTAGCAGCTTTAGGACAACATTGTTACTCTGAACACAACAATCTCTGTCACTTCTGCAGGTCTACCTGTCCCCTTGCACTCATCAGCGTCTGAGGCTGCGCTACTTACTGCATCGCCCGCCGGGGAGCACATATCTCTGATTTATGGGGGGCTGTAAGAGGACATCGGCAGCCTAATGGAGGATGGAAATTGTTAGGTTATTCGACAATATATACAGCAAAGGAGGAAAGGGGAGGAAAGGTAGAGGAGGAAAGTGCAAACGAGCGCTTTCCATGCGTACGAATGCAAGATGTACATCAAACAAAGTGGCAATCATATGAGCACTCAATACAACATCGACATCCTGCTGCTCTGCTTGTTTGAACGTCTGCACTACCGAGCAATCACAAATGGATGGCCTGAGTGAGAAAGGAGAAGAGGGAGGGAGAGCAGGGAGGTTAACTGCAATGCAAGAAAGCTTTTTGTTTACAAAGTCCTTGCATTGAACTAGATCCTCACGATATTCACACAGTGAGAACCAAAAGCTGATGGCCAAAGGAAATTAAGTTTAGGGGCTGGAGGAAAGAAGTCATGTGGCCACTATCAAAGTGCCATCTGCACAGTAGGAGACAAACTGGGTGTTCACTTTGGTTTGCCTAGAGTAGGATCAATCCCATTTAAGCAAACTTTTTTTTTTTTTCCCCTGAATGACAATCCTACAAGAGCAGTTGGGAAAGGGGGGAAATCTGGGTGACTTCACTGTATATTCTTGGGTCAGAACCAGAAAACACACCTAAAAGCCCCAAGATGGCCAACAGCAAACCGTAAGCCATAATTCACAGGCTATCAATTAATTCCTCTCCGACAGTCACTTAAGCATTTTGTCCACTTACAGTGAAAACAAAAACCTTGGTTCTAAGAACAGGTAAGGCAATGCCAGGACACTCATTTCCCAGGAGCAGGAATCGCAGCTGAACTGCTTTTTGGAATAAAAGTGCAGATGGTAGCCCATGCTCCTCACTTTTTGTCCCTGCTGGTCTATGCTCTTCTCTTGGAGCAGTCAGTTAGAGATTCTGGACCTCCTGGTAACTAAAGCCATTCTTGGCAAAACTAATTTTTGCATCATTGGTCAAATCATTAATATCATCTACATTACTATTAAACACCAGCGGGAGCCATCTAAAATAGACTCTTAAAATGCAGAAAGCTGATTCTCATTGAAAAATCAGCTTGTTTGGGTAGGATTTTCTTCACTGCATTCGATGAAAAAAAAATGTACTAATTTAGAAAATAACTTTCAAGTGCACATGGGCTATAAAAACAAACATAAGCTGCCTAAAATGCAGTCAGAGTTTGAGTCACAACAGGTTTTGCTTTTTTTTTTTTCTTCCTTTTTTTTTTTGTGTATACAAACACAGCAGGCAACCTGGGCTCTTGGACTTTCTAGACAGGCAGCAGAATGTTGCACAAGTCTAAATTTCAGTCAATTCAACTTTGCAGTGGATCCCTCTTTCCTTTAAAGAAACACAAAAACAAAACAGAAAACAACCCCCCCCATGGTTTCTTTCTTGGAATGGCTGCACCTCTTATAATAAAGATGGCTTCATTTTTGTGATCTATGAAAGGAAAAGGAAATAAAGTGCTTCTTGAGAATAAATCAAAATAAATATACATATTTAATGGTAGGAAAAAAAAGAGTTCTGAAGGGCTACCTCCAGCCAGGTCTTTTCTCAAATGAGTCTTTTCCCCCATAATGTTTTCAAGAGCAATCTGCACAACAGTTGAAGATGCCAAAAGCTGCTTTAGCAGCAGAGTTGAATTCCCCCAAGTCTGTGTCTGCTCCATCACTGGTTTGTAAAATCTGTGCAAAACACCTTTGCCCAAAGTGCTGCTCCTCCTGCACAACAGCATCAAATAAAATACAAAAGAACGAGGAGAAGGGAAAAAACAAAAAAAAACCAAAAACCCCAACCAAAACAAAAGAAGGAAAAAAAAAATCCACCCAGTTACATGGACTTCATCCCGTTGGCAGTGGTGTTCTCTGAGATCCCGTCGCTCACAGCTGCTGAGTCATGGAGGCCGGAGTAATCCTTGAGTTCAGAGTTTGTCAGGAGCAGGGGCTGTTCCCCTTTCTTGTGCGGCAGGAGGGGCTGCCGGGTGTAATGTTCCCCGTCCGGGATGTTCTCGGGCAGGTTCTGGTTCTTGCTCTCCGGCAGCAGCAGGATGCAGATGATGCAGATGAGCGTACAGCAGGCGAAGATGACGTGGTGGAGGAAGTAGCCTTTCTGGTTGTGGAGCTCCATGATGGGGGCGGTCAGGCGGCCGAAGCCCGCACTGGCCAGGACCAGCCCCAGCCCTCCTGCCCTGCAAACACAGCAGAGGTGAGAGCCCAGCCCCGCAGCCTGCTCCTGCCAGCACAGCCCCATCAGCACCAGGGTGAGGAGCACACAGCCCCGACGTGTCCCCCAGACTAACCCCCTTTTGGGTGGGAACTGAAATCCCTGACAAACCTGGTTTGCTCACAGCTTTCATGTTGTTCAGCTAGCTACCCCACGAAGGAGTTGCTTTGCTGTTGTAGATCATAGCTGCCAATTTGCCTCTCTGTGAGGAAACTCACTGAAGTATCTTTTCACACCCATGTAACTGCCCCCACATACTCTTGTGAGTATATATACAGTCTGCTGAAGTATTCCCATTTGCAAGTATTCCCGTATTCAGCGAGGGAAAAACAGATTTTGCTTAGCATGCCAGCTTTCTCCAGCTTAGACAAGACACACCTACTGCTTGTAGGTACAGAACTCAGTTTTGGCTGCCTCTGAAGTACCTTGGCATCAGTCAGCAGTGGAGGCAGGAGATTAGACTTTACAGGCCACTGCCTTGATCCATTATAACCTGAAGGGGCTACAGGAAGGCTGGGGAGAGACTTTTGACAAGGGCAGGGAGTGACAGAACAAGGGGTAATGGCTTTAAACTGGAAGAGGGGAGGTTTAGGTGAAATATGAGGAAGAAATTGTTTCCTGTGACGGTGGTGAGACACTGGCACAGGTTGCCCAGAGAAGCTGTGGCTGCCCCCTCCCTGGAAGTGTTCAAGGCCAGGCTGGATGAGGCTTTGAGCAACCCAGTCTAGTGGAAAGTGTCCCTGCTGATGGCAGGGGGGCTGGAATTAGATGAGCTTTAAGGTCCCTTCCAATCCAAACCATTCTATGATTCTACCAAACACTGAGCACTGAAATATTATCTCCATAAAAACATGCTGTGGCTGGAACATTCTCAAAACATTGAAATAACATGCATCATTTTCAGGAAAAAAAAGGAAGATAACATAGGTAGTGGTCAGAATAGGAAAACAGGAGTTTGGGATTAATTTCTGAGACCTCCTCTTAAAATCACTGTACAAGTTGAGGTAGGTCCTCACTTGCTCTTATGTATTCTTGTATCACAGAAAGGAGTTCCGAAAAGGTTAACATTGGTGAAATGCTTAAGCTGTAAATAGGTAACTTTATAAAATATTTTGTGTGGCACAAATGCTTATTTATGAAATGTAATGTGCTCGTGTATTTGGATCATACATGGATGCACACCAGAAGAGAGTGAAAATGGGTTGAAGTTTTAAAACAAAAAAAGGGGACAATAACTTCATCCACCCCAGTCACAAGCACGGAGGTCGCTTGTGCAAACTGAATTCAGTGCTCTTTCCTGATGCTCAGCTGTGCAAGCAACCTCTCCTGTAATTCCTCGTCTTGCTCGTTGATGTCTCTCCCAGTGCTGGAGCAGGGTGCCTGGCACACCTCCGGCCTCATGCCCACCTTGGGGCGAGGCACAGCTCACGCTCCCAGGGCCTGTCCTCGCTGGGTGACCCCGCACAGAAGTGTCACCTCAGCCATTTCTCTGGGGCAGAGCATTCCCTCCTCCTGCCGCGGCACGACCAAGATCTCTGGCCAGCCAATCATCACCCTCAAGTGACTCATTTTAGCAACATCTCTGAGAGCAAACAGCAGCTTGTCCATGATTTTCCAAAGACCCTGCTGCCTGCAGAGGGAGGTCTCTCCATGAGCTTAACCACTGGCACCCTGCTCCCCACTGCCCCACGCAGCTCACCCAGGGAACACGCTCCCCACAGCTCCTCCAGGAGATGCCTTCTATTCCCAAACCCTCTGGTGATCAGATGGGCTCAGGTGCTTCAGTTTCTGGCTGTGCTGGTTTTTAGCTGAGACAGAGCTGGGTTTCTTTTTAGTAGCTAGAACAGCGCTGTGTTTTGGTTTCAGCCTGGGACTGGTTATGAGAGAAACATTGATAACATACCAGTGTTTTCCTTTTTGTCACTGGAAGTGAAGGACTTTGTGTTCTGTTAGTCTGCAAGCACAAGAGCTAAGGGTGTGAGGAATATTTAAATTAATAAGCTAAGTTGGCATTTGGGATATTCCATATCATATGACATATATTAATATATGTTCAGTATATTAATGAGGGTCTCTCCCTCTCTTGCTCTCTCTGACTTGCGCTTGGGCTCTTGCTCTTTTGGGATTGTGATTTTGGTTTGGGATTGTTGCTCCTCTGGGATCGTTATCTTGGAACGGGCTGGGTGGTGAGCAATTGCACTGTGTATCACTATTACCATCATTACTATTTTAATATCATTATTATTTAAAGATTTATTTTATGTCAATTATTAAATTGTTCTTATCTCAACCTATGAGTCTCCTTGCTCCCCAATTCTCTCCCCTACCCCCTGGGGCAGGAGTGATCGATCGAGTGGCTGTGTTTGGCTGCTAGCCACGTGCTAGCCAAGGGAAACCACTATACTGGCCCAGTGGCAGAGATATAATTATTAACAATAACTGGATTTTACAGCAGAGAACTGCAGAAGGCAAATGAACTGCTTTACATCAACTACTTGGAAAAAGAAGTTTCATCAATTATTGAGCATACTCAAAAGCACAGCACTATAAACCTGACAAATGCCAAACTGACTCAGCCAACCACCATGCTAAAACTAATCTTCACCCAGTTCTTTCCTAAATCCACTGCTGCTTACTTGACAGCTAAAGGGCAGGAAGCACACTTCAAAAAATGCCCTTGGGACACTGCCTGGATCAAAAATTCATGTACATATCCTCTAATTCTCCAGATCAGCAGAGCATCTTTCACAGACAACAGTGATTTCCCCAAATACTGCAAAAGCCCTTATGAAAAACTTGCCAGCTTTCTGATGGCAATTTAGAAACCCGGCTGAATGTGGCCATTGTGCCACTGGCCTCCCTGCAACTTCATTAATACACTCGCATGAGTAATCGACACAACCAGCCCCAAACGCATGGCAAATCACTCTCCAAGTTAGCTCCAGAGCTACAAAAGCCCAGCTTATTTACATCCCTGTTTGCTACGGCTAAATTGTATCTCAACCACTAAGAAGGACCTGAGGTGAGTTTTAAAAGCTGCTGTAGAAGGACATCAAGCAAGCTGAAAGGAAACAGGAAAAAGCAACAACAAAGACGGCTCTGTCATTACAGGTCAAGCAGCTTCAGATTTGGAGGGGGGAAAAAAAGGTTTTTCATATGATGTCAGTAATTAGAGCAGGCATTACTTTACCCAGCGCCATCAAAACCTGGCAGAAGGTGGCTTGAAAATACATTTTGGTACACATCCTAGAAGATTTTTTAAAAATGTTTGACTCTACTGCAAATATGAAAATGAAAAAAAAAAAGAAAACTGAAGATAGCATCAAGATTTTTTTGCTGTTCACATGCACATGGGGAAAATGGGCAAGAGAGGCAGCATCCTCATCATCATTCACACTGTTTTTGCCCTTGGCCTCATGGGGCAAGGCATCATCTTTGAAAAGCCAGGGCTGGTTTGGGTCCCAGTAAACAGCACTGGAAATTTGGCTTCAGATAACTATTGGGTAAAGCTCCTAATTCAGCCATCGCTACCCACTCTTCATTTCTTTGACTGGGTAAGGGCAAAGGCAGGACACAAAAAATCAGATTGCTTTTCAACTTGTTAGTAACCAAGCATGCAGAAGACAGGGAGAGGACACCAAGCATGCAGAGGAGAGACATTTTCCTCAGCCTATTCCTGTTTAGTAGCTGTGCAACCTGCAGTGGTGTTTCCATCAAGATTATTAGAGATGGATTATCGTGCCACTTAGTGCTTTAATTCAGTGTCTGGAAGGAGTTCTGTACTGAAACCCCCAGTATGAGGAACGGGAGCTCCTGGTGAAGCCCTCCTACCTAGTGCCAGGAAAGCAGGGTGCAGAGCAAAGGTACAAGGGACCCCTCTGTGCCACCTGAGAGTGTGGGACCTTTATGTCTCTGGAGCCAGTGGCACCCCTGGGCGATGAAGGTGTCTCTTTTCCTCCTACAGTGCTATAACCGTTCATCTCAACATCACAGCAGTAGAGCCGGACAGGTGCTATGGGTTGGCCACCATGTCACTGTTATCCTGATAATGTCAATGCTGTTTTCTTCCCTCAGGGATGAGGGATTACAGGTAAAGGATTTGATTAGGGAAACCCCAGAGATGGCCACAGTGCTCTCTCTGCCTCTCTGTTCCTTAAAGTTTCTCAAGATTCAACCAAAAGCACTTGGTCTGAAGCACTAATGGGCATCTGAGGCAGTATATTGGGAAAAAGGTTAGGAGGAAGCAGCCAGATCTCACTGAAAAGCAAGACACAAGGCAGCTGACCCCCACTTCTGCCTGAGAGATGTTTATGCACCACCCTGAGCACCACCTCCTAATTACAGCCCTGAGTGGATCTTATCAAGAGCTTTACAGTGGTAGGACTGCAAAGCACTGCAGAGTGTCACCATCCCTATTAATAATCGGGGACCCTGAGGCATATCCATCTATTGTCACTTGCTTGGTGTCACCCAGCAGAGTCAGGAGAAGCAGAAACTCAGCTCCCAGCTAGGATTTTGTCCCCTTCCCTGTAGAAACATAAGTGATTTAAGGAAAAAAACTTGCTAAATTCACACTATGCATCTGACCCTGCTTGGCGGATTCTCTTCTGGTTGAGGTGGGCAGTTCCTTATCTATATGTCTTTCAAATAGAGACAAAGAGAAAATTAAAGAGGCATAAAACCACCAAACTGACTGCCAGGCACAGAAGTAAATAGCTGTTAGTGTTTTGGGCTGCTGTGTAATCTCCTCACCACTCACACTGCCTTTCCCTGTGGAAATAATGTTATCTGTAAAATACATTCACAGAGTCAGATAGCTTGGAATAAAAGGCCGTGGATCAAGGAGACTCTGGCTACTCATCTGACAGTTTTGCTATAATACTTTTGCAAAGTTATTGAAAAGGGGAAGGAAGGAAGGAAGGAAGGAAGGAA